TATTTTTCAAACATGCCTTTCTCCGCTACAAAACAACGTGCTATCGCAAATGCTATCATTAATATCCTAACCGAACACGGGGCACGAAGACTTGGTGAGCTGGTTACCTTGTTAATCACAAATTATCGTGTTACCGGAGAGGAAGATCACGACTTCCGAGATGTAACTGAGACCAACATCATGCCAATTTTGAAATCTATACAAGATCGTCTCTTCCGCTATCGGATAACAAACTGCGGAATTCAAGGTGCACCTTACTACTATGCCCTTCGCACGGCCAATGATCCGAACGACAGTTTTGATACAATATATTATCATTGATAAACCTTTACATTTTTCATTATTCATGACTGTCTTTTGTTACTTCTTTCATATCTAATATATATATATATTCTAGAAACAACATTATTAAAACTATATGTGTACACTGAAAACAAAAAAGGTGTTAGACAAATCCTTTAGGGTTTCGTCGAAGTTTAACATACTCCAAAGGTTACCGTACAATTATACGAAATTCATAAGAGGTTTAGTAATATGCGAGGTTTTGTATAATACCTTTACAACTTCTGAAAACTAAGAAAAGGTTTTGTGTAGAACCAGTTTTAAACGTCTGAGCCCAAAAAAGTTTCGTAAACAGCTCATCATGAGTGTTGGAGCTAAAGAGTGTTTTGTATAAAACCTTTGATAAGTGTTGGAGGTTCAAGAAGGGTTTCGCATAAAACCCTTTACGGGTGTTGAAGCTTAGAAGAGCTTCGTAAAAAACACTTTGAGAAAGTTGTAGCAAAAAAAGGTTTTGTATCAAACTGTTTATAAGTTTTAGAATTTAAAAAGATGTCGTATAACACTCTTCATAAAAGCTAAAGTTTAAAGAGGTTTCGTATAAAGTCCTTTATACCTTTTGGAACTTAAAAAGATCTCGTATGATACCTTTTCGATGTTTCCGCCACGAGAAGGTTTCGTATAAAACCTTTTAGAAGTATCGCTGTCAAAAGGTTTCGTACAATACTATTTATTTTTTCTGCGCATCTATGCTATCGGTCGATGTTGACTTATTGTAAATCCATCCGATGATAAATTCTTCCATTCATTTGCCTATTTATTCTTCATCTTGCAACCCAGTTTCGATGTTTTCGTCGCTGTTTTTTGAACTCAAACGTTTTCATACAGAATTTCTTCTAGAAAAACTACGAAAAGTCTTTACTAATGTTCCAATAGCTGTATTAATATACCTTTTAAAAATATATTACCTATTTATTAAGCATGTTTTCGTGTATCTATTCCATGAATGACTATACTTATAAGTTTTATAGTAGTTTACAGAGTGGCTAAGATTTTAAAACAGTGAGGACCCGAGTCACCGACTTTCGTCATTTAATACAATAATTAATTCATAAACTGAATTCTTCTCTTAATATGATTCATTTCGTGTGTCGCTCTACCTGGATGGAGCTCATACTATTTTAAAACAATACGCACATATCTCAGTGTTCATTTAACTGAGACACCGGCAAGATACATAGGAACACACATAGATATCGGAGCATAAGCACAGATATAAGAGATGCACATAAACTTAAATCGATCTAAATACATATTGAGTGTGGGGTGTGGGTGTGTGTGGGTGTGTGGGTGGGTGGGTGTGGATGATGAATGGACCACACTCACACCCACACCCACACCTATCTTCATACTCACACCCACACCCTCAAACATGAACAAACTCATTTTATTTCATATAATTCTTCCTTCAATCGAGGGAATATTTATCAACGAATATTTGCGGAAAAAATCAGTTTTGATTTTTCGAATAAGCCATATCAAAAATAAAATCATGCCAAAGGTGGCTAGTATGTCGATGATGAGCGAATAAACGAGAACGAAATTAAATATCGATTGTTGACAATAAGAGACTGACATAGGTGCTTCACCGGATGTATAGCGATTTCGTATGCCAAAAGTCCAGATCGTGCCCTAAAATAGAGAATTTCAATCATATTAATGCAAATGATTGATTACCAAGACTATTATTTGCGATGTTAAGCATTAGTTGGAATGCAAAAATCGTTTTCAATCGATATCGTTTCTATTTATTTAAATAAAATTTCATAGTTTTAAAAAGAAACAAAATTGCTCAAAATGCAATTCTTTTTATATCACTTTTGGACTATCAAGTGAAAGTAGTTTAGTGAAGTTCCTCGTGTCAAAAACATCAGAATTCTCTGTTTGCTTTTTATTCAAAATGATTTCATTTGGATTCAAATGAGAAAAGTCTCTGATCTGTCATATTTGTAATCGAGCTTAGCATAGAATAATACACAAAAAGTGTTTCTCAAATTATAAAAAGATATCTCTTGCTATATAACAAGTAAACATTGCTTACCGGAATGGCCCATATTGCTAGGAGTATAGCCGTGACAAGCACGACTAGAATTCCTGATTTTTGAAAAACTTTTTCGTCACATTGGCATCTACAGCATGGAAAGCAGAGAGCAATCTTTATACAAATATTCGGTTATATTCATTAATATGAAGACTATATAGAACTTACGAAGATAAAAGCAGCAAACGTTGGTATGAGTAAAATCAAACCAGTTATAACTATCCAAATAGGAATGAGTGGTTGAATCGGACACGATTCAATTTTCACTACACCAATGATCAGAGTAATCAGACAAAGAGGAGTCATCAACAAGCAGATAATATTGAACAAGAAGTAGCAAATGAAAAAAGTGAGTGTTAAACTTTCACCCATTTAGCAAAACATGTAATTTGACTCGAATGAATGGTTGTAATGATAGGTTTACTTTTCATAAATAACCAAGGAGAACAAGAATAGAAATGATGACATGTCCTTTCACAATCAAGATGCAACTGAAAATTACTCCATCCTGTCGTAATTTGAACCTTAAGAGGGCACTGCTATCAATATTTTCATAACTGAAAATAATTGAAATTCAATCAAGATATCTGAGTTATTCGGCTTTGCATAAGTTCAATTGATGTTGTTATTTTATATTTCAAAAAACAAACGAAAAGGAATTCATGATGATGAGAAAAAGTTGTTTATACCAATCTTAAACATAGTCTATTTTATTAGTAGTGATCACGAAAAACTAATTCCACAGATACAATCATAACATCAGTTTATATTCGACAAGCTAAAAGAATTCTTCGTCATTAAGACAAACAAAGCAACAAGAGGAATGAAGCTAAACTGTAGTCGGCGAACCCAAGCAGACAACAATTTAAAAAAACGCAAGAAACGATGTTTTTTGTTTCGCTTAATTTTCATTTTCAGAACGTGAAAATGATGAAAAGCTCAAAAAATGAGCTTTAAAACACATGATTTTTAAATTCCAGAATAAAAGCGCATTGTTCCAAGTTCTTGTCTGCTCGGGAAGCAGGTGTTGGGTATGGCTGTGGCTGTGAATGCTCACTTCCACCAATACTCACATCAACCCACACTCACACCCTATGAATTAAATGTACTCACTTCGTGTGTTGTCCCATCAAGTTTTATTTTTGTCTAATAATCATGAATAACATGGTGAAGAAATCGACAAATTAAAACAAAATTTCATGTATTAAATCAGCTAAACAAATTATATTATGACGATCATGGTTGACTGATACTGAATCTAAGTCTAATAAATAAAAAATTATTAATTAATATTAAAATTTATTTTCCTAATAATAAGTTTCAAAATAATCAATTCAAATTTTAGAAAAAAATTCATTTTTAAATAATGAGACATGGGACTTATTACTTACTGATATCATTGACAAAAACTTTTCGCATCTTTGGTAATTTTTCTTTCAATTCCATCAACGTATTTATTCTCTCTGAGTGATATGAACTCTGTTGTAAACATTGTTGATTTTTAGAAAAAAATCAGTGAGAAAAACTGCTTTTTTTAACTTAAAATGTTTTGCCAAGAAGACATCTATATAGATATGTCCATGAAGGGTGTGAGTGTGAGTGTGGGTGTAGGTATGAGTGTTGATTATCTTAAGCAACACCTACCCACACCCGCACCCCACCCACATCCACACCCTACTGCCACTGAATTCAAAACATTTTTTGTTATTTCTTCATCATATTTTTTTCCAATAGATGTAACTTCATTTCGTGCACGTTGTTTAATTTGTTCACGTGTTTTTTGGACTTGAATCAATTCAGGATTTGCTGGATAACCATGGTCAGTTGTACCACCAGACAAATAATCTTGATTTATATCAGTATGGGCATATACACCGCAGCCATTAATTGTACATACCCATTATTTTTTATTGGGCATTTTTTGTTACATTTGAATATGTATTGATTCATTACTAAAAGAGGCTGTCCTTTATTGGAAGTAATGAAAGTTAAATCACAAGTAATGTTGCGTGCAGATTCACTAGAAGCTTCCATCTTTATCTTTATCACACGAATAATGAAAAAATGAACAGCATTATTCTTATTCTTCTCTACAACATTGTACTAAATGACCAACGTCTGACAGATCAATGATAGATTTAAATGAACATAAGTCGTCATGGATCGTGCAATAATGACATCTTCATCGTACATCTGTCAAAATTTTACTTTTATGACTTTTCTTGTATATTTTTACTTTCGACGTTTTCACATTCGGCATTTTTACTTTCGACTAAAGTTGCATTTACCCGTATTCTAGAATATTACATTTCGATGGTATATGCAAAGTTAGAGATTGTTCGCTTTAATTTAATTTTTACTGATTTCTATGTGCAGATATCTTTGACCAACTGGTGATTCTCGTACCTAGGATGAAATCACGATAGTGGTAAGTATTAGTTCATACTCACCCTCACCTTTACTCTTACTTGTACAAAGTTCGATTCTTTCTAAGAAGTTGCCAAAAATTTCTTTTTTGAGCTCTTTTTCCGAAGTATTTATTTTAATGTTAAAATAGCCCTTATAGACAAGATTATTCATCGAAAAAACAAAAAAAAACTGTTTATTGTTTATTTGTTTGTTATGGTTGGTATAGCTCCGAACTATTTAAAACACCAAGATTATCTAATCCATAAGTAACTAACACTTTTCCATTTGTTAACACGGATGCTGTGTGGAAAGCTCTAGTAAAACTCATACTAGCAATGATTGTCCACATTCCTGTTGACGGGTCATACAACTCGGCACTATCTAAAAAAATATTCTCAAGTCCACCAGTAACTAACACTTGTCCATTTGTGAACACTGATGCTGTGTGAGAATTTCGACTAAAATTCATACTGCCAGTGATTGTCCACATTCCTGTTGATGGGTCGTATAACTCAGCACTATTTAAAACAACACCATTATATCCACCTGTAACTAACACTTTTCCATTGGTTAACACAGATGCTGTGTGATGCTGTCGAGTAAAATGCATACTGCCAGTAATTGTCCACATTCCTGTTGATGGATTATACAACTCAGCACTATTTAAGGCAACACCATTATATCCACCTGTAACTAACACATTTCCATTGCTTAACATAGATGCTGTATGTCTATATCGAGTATAATTCATACTGCCAGTAGTTGTCCACACTCCTGTTAATGGGTCATATAACTCAGCATGATTTAAAGGAATACCACTAGATCCACCCGTAACTAACACTTTTCCATTTGTTAACACGGATGCTGCGTGATAACATCGAATATAATTCATACTGCCAGTGATTGTCCACATTCCTGTTGATGGATTATACAACTCAGCATTATCTAAAACAACACTATTCAATCCACCTGTAACTAAAATATTTCCATTGCTTAACATAGATGCTGTATGTCTATATCGAGTATAATTCATACTGCCAGTAGTTGTCCACACTGCCGTTAATGGGTCATATAACTCAGCATTATTCAAAGCAACACCATTCAATCCACCAACAACTAATACTTGTCCATTTGCTAACACGGATGCTGTGTGAGAATATCGACCATAATTTCCACTACCAGTATTTGACCATGCTAACAGAAAATATTATATACAGTTTAGGAAAAAAATATGTATCATTAAATCCTAGAAGGTTTACAATCAGGAACGATACTGATGAGATTCTTATCCTTATTAGATTATACAAGAAAGTAGAAAAACAAATGTGTGACAATTATAGAGGCGTTTCACTGTTGAATGTAACAAGTAAAATCTTTTCTCGTATTATATGGAATCGTATTCAAAATATGATTGATCATCAACTCTTAGAAGCGCAGTCTGATTTTCGTGCACGGAGATCAACTGTTGACCAAATATACATATTGAAAACCACGATGGAAAACGTAGGGAATTCAACAAATCATTATTCACAAGTAACGTTCATCGCGTAGCGATTCACTTAGCCCTAGACTGACAGAATAAACAAAGGGATTTAGTCACATATACATATGAAGGTGCATTAAATAAAGTAGTAGACGGAATTGATAATATGATAAGTATATCATAGATGGTCATAAAAATTAATTTCGACAATGCACCTTATATATAAAGATGATGCATATATGGATTCAGTTTATCTATCGTAAACAATTCATTTTTTGTTTTATAATTACAAATAGCGCCAATATAATTAAACAACAATACGAAATTTTAATAATTACATTAGCGCTATTTGTAATTACAAAAACAAAAATCACATTATTCACCAAATTTAAGTTTTGTTAAGCATAATTATATGTTCAAATTGACTCATCAATTCTAAACTTAATAAATCACATACTCATTTATACAACATTGGTTAATCAATCCAATAATATTGAATATTTTAACAATTTTTTTAAAAGTCATATTGTTCGGTTAGTTTGAATTCTACTAACTAGATGCTGTTTTTAACCATTCTACACAGTTATCTGAATAATAGTTATTGCAGGGTCGTTTTAGTCATGCTTATTACATGTTCATTTGAATCATAGTCATTAGATGGTCATTCCGACCATGGTTACTACATGGTCATTTGTACCATGTTACAGACAGACAGACGCAGGTGAATTTAGGTTTCTAGACCCTATCATTTCAGTCTAGGGAATATTCTCATTTGTGTCATAGTTACGTGGTCATTTGTGCCCAAAAATTCGTCGTTTGTGCCATAAGTACGCAGTCATTTGTGTCAAAAAAATGGTCGCTTGTGCCATGTTACCGACACAAAGGATACATGGACACAGATGAATTCCCGTTTCTAGACCCTATCCTTTCAGTCTAGAGAATGTGTTTCATTGATCTTACAAAGACTTATGACTTCGTCAATCGTGATCTTCTGTGGAAAGTTTGTCGCAAGTATGGCATTTCAGAGAAACTTGTTAATCTATGAAAAATAGCTCTATAAGAACTCAAAGGCAAAAGTGACAATTGAAGATGAATTATCGGATAGTTTCTTAATTGAAACTGCAGTTCAACAAGATGGAATACCATCACCAATCCTGTTTAACATTTTATTTGATTTTGTCATCAGAAACGTTATGGAAGAGGCTGATATTGCCGGAGTCAAATTTTCTTGTGGCAATAATAATTTTTTTCATGTCAAACGGGAAACTATGAAAATTTTAGTATCTTAGCACTATTTTATGCTGATGATCTTGTAGCTATGTGTGAAACAGCATCTGATCTAGCAACATTTATTCGAACATTTGAAAAAGTGACTCAAGAAGTTGGATTGACAATGAGTGTTTAAAAAACATGTACTATGACTTCACAACAGTTTGAGAAAGATCAAAATCGAAAGATTTTAAAACAGAACGAAGTGATCTTTCCTGATATTGACATTACAATTCGCAATCAAAAGATAAAACCTGTTGAGTCTTTCACGTATTTAGTTTGTAACATCACTAGAGATCAAAAGCCAGATAGCGATATTTATGCAAGATTAACCAAAGCTGCCATTGCATTTAATATGTTAAGACATGTGATGTGAAGTCGAAAAACTGTCTCAATCAAATCAAGACTACATGTTTTTCGTGCTTTTGTTCTTTCAGTTTTACTTTATGGAAGTGAAACGTGGTCAATTACAGGTCAACATGAACGTAGAATTGCTACTTTTTATATGAAATGTTTACGTATAATTATCGGTATAAATCTCTGTGATAGAATGTCAAATGAAAAACTATTAGAAAGTACTGATCAACTATCAATTGAGAATACTCTGCCTAGAAATAGATTGAGGTGGTTCGGACATGCAAACAGGATGATGAACAGTTATGATGAGTCATCAGTGGTGAAAAAGATTATATGTTCATACTTTCCTGAAGAGAAAAGACCTCGAAACATCGTCATAAGGAAAAGATGGGAAGATAAAATTCAAAGTGATATACAAACGCTGAATGTTACCAACTGGAGAAGACAAATTCTCAATAGAAATCATTGGCGTGATGTAATTAATCGGAACACTCAGATCAGACCTATTCACCCAAATATAAAAGATATTATTTTTGAGTATAAACAACGAGCAGCTGAACGAAGAAGAAGAAATTTAGCAACAGCCTGGGGAGTAGTACAGAAAAAAGTAACAGAAGTATTAAAAAAGAACACCAATGGTAAATACCAATGTCATGGTTGTGGCAAATTGTTTATGTCTCAAGATGTTACGAAACATGTTAAAACTTGTGCACAAGACTGGTGTACAACGAACAAAATTAAATGAATGAACTAACTAAGCAGCTGATAATGATTGTTAATCATGTATTGGAACTTGAACTTTGTGAGAATGATGGATACCATTTAAACTGACATCAGAGGGTGATATCTTGATAAATAACTTAGCTCAACTTTCAGTAGCGATCAATAGAACATTCGTCAAATAATGCACTTTAGCATATTTGTGTTTTGTTTGTATTCTCACCCCATACCAGATATGGTAATGGGTCTAACTAACTGACTACCTTGAATGGAAATGTCACAAACCTAATAGGTAGGATAAAATGGCATGTACAGTAACATCATGTTATCACCAGCTCATATCAATAAACTAGTCATCAGATTCCGTTCATTTAAAAGAAACTGTATGATGCAAATCAGCTCAGTTAGTTGATATAGAACTGTCACACATCTCTTCGCCTAGGTGAAGGCATACGGACTGGTTCCGACAGGAAAACATCGGAAATCAATGGAACTTGCGGGCAATATTTCATGCTAAAAAGTATTCGGATTTTTTACGGTGACTTTCGACCAACTTTTTGTTCTTCTCGACGGAGAAAGACAAGAAGTCACCGATAAAAAATCGGGAGGAACTTCGGCTCTGAATACTGCGTCCAATTTTCATTCATTTCCAACAATTGCTTGCCAGATACGATGATTATCCTGTATCTTTGCGGCCGGTTCCGACGCAATCCTCTTGTTTCCGCAGTCCGAAACCATCGCTCTAGATGAATATCACTATTAAAAGATCATCTCAGAAAAACAATCAGTTTGAAAAAATGAGAACGATACATTACCGAGAACTGATGTTGTGGTGGTTGTTGCAGCTAAATATGAAGTTTTGTAATTATAAAAATTGAACTAAGTATATTCATGCAATGCTAGTTTCATTTTGTCTTCTGAATTCAAGAAAAAAATGATTGAGGTAGCAATATAATCAATGATAGAACTCAATATGAATTCTTTGATGAGTGGATTTGTAGATCCTCTTTGTCTAGTATTTCTAAAAAGATGGTGTAAAGATTGATCTGCCGTGTCTAATGAAAATCTTTTACTTATTCTTTACAATTGTCAATGTTTCAGTACTCATATCACTAATCTTAATATTCAACATTAACGTATATCTAACGGGTGACGCAGATTAAACGGAACAAAATCCTTTTACTTTTTTGAGCCACTTATATTCATGTTCAGAATTTTTTTTACATTATCGAAGGATCATGAAAAGTGACGACATACGAAACGTGGTACTGCAATTGCATCAAGAAGGATTGAAGTGTTGACAAATTTCGGATCATCTTCGAAGCGAAGTTGAAAAATCGATGATTCATAGATGAATCAAGATGCTTCAGGAATCTCGTGAAATACTTTTGAAAAATCCACTGGGTTCAAAACGCACGAAACGATTGATCTCAACATGTGAAAAAAATTTGCTTCACACTGAAAAGAAGAAGCCAACAAGAAAGTTGGCTAAATTGCTCGGCATGTCAAGGAGAACTGTACAAAGAACGATCAAAATCTGATTTGACATGGAAGCCATATGTAAAACGTGTTGCTCCAAAGCCAATAGGTGCACAAAGATAGAAAAGATTTTCATTTGAAATATGGGTGTAAAAAAACGTCAGAAAATCTTTGTCACGAAAAATCTTGTTTTCTGACGAAGAACGATTTGACGTTGATAGAATTTACAACCATCGAAACGACAGAATATAGCCTCCAAATTGTCAACAAGTCGATGCAAACGATGGGACTCATCGAAAAACCAAACTTTCATACATAGTTATGATCTAGCTCGGTGCGCATCATAATGATGTCACTCGCGCTGTCATTATGGAGAAAGAAACGATAAATCATTAATGTTATATCCACGAAATATTGCCAGCAGCATTGCAAGATGATCAAAAGTTAATGGGAAATGAATTTATATTCTAACACCATGGCGCAAGGGTACATACAGGTCATCACACTCAAATATGGTGCAATGAGCACTTTGAAGATTTTGACCACAACCACGTTGACCGTCGAATTTCCCCGAGCTCAACTCCCTTGATTATTGTATACGGTGTGAATTATATGAACAGCTGAACTGGGACAAAACTACAAGCGAAAAATTCTGATGGATCAAAGTCTTGTCAGCATGGACAATATTCAACCGGCTCTTATTCATCGCAGTATTGATGTTTGGATCAACAAAGCTTATCGAATGTCACAAAATAATTGTGAATATGTTTTTTAAATGAAATATGTAGTTTTGCAGGAGGAAAAATTCTCTATCGACTGCCTATAAAACGAAGTCCTGAAAGTGTATACGAACGTCTCGAAAAAAGAAATTGACTTTGTCCTATTTAACCTTTTCCAGTCAGCTATCAGAAGGCAGGTAGCAAAAATATCTTTTCGTGTATTTTTGTTGCTCCTAGAACATGAAGATCGGAAAAGCTTAGTTTTCAGAATCAAAAAGTGCTTCGCCATCTAATGACTTGATTTTTCCATTTGGAAACATTCGACCACTAAGGATCAGAATTTTGCAAAATTCATTTTTTATTTTCGGTTATTCAAGTGCAATATTTTGTGTTTTTTCATTTATTTATAAAGGCTATATAAGAGAAAAAGAACTTGTGAACGGGATGTGACTGTCGGTGTGGGTCGGGGGTGCAGAATCTACCCGTGGACTGTAGTGGTACTAATAGAAAAAACAGATCATTGGGAGAAATTTTCAATTATTCTGACTCATACATAATCAAAACGTCGACAAATTTTCAGTTCGTCCTGCATGTTGCCAAAAAACTTTGACTGGTTTTATATTCGTGGTGTAAGTGTAGATTTGAGTGGATGCGGGTATCGGTGAGTGAAATAAAAGCGAATATCTACACTCACCCTCACCACGGGAAGAAGGATATCAATTTTCTCTATGATAGAAATGCATGTATTTCCACGAAAACATTATAGAATTTATTGTTTTGACAAGTGCAGACGTAAGTGAGTTGAAAAAGTTTTGTCCCTTTACGGCCGAATGTTTCCAAATGAAAATATTTCCATTTTTTATTGTCCGGAATAATTGAATAATACCACTTAATGATGCAATATTCAATAACTCTATGAAGGAAAATTAATCATTGAATGCCTTCGACATTGAATGTTCAGAGACATAGGAAAAATACTTTTATGATTTGCATGTTACTTTGGGGCATTTTGGGTGGAACCGACCATTTTCTTAGTGAATTTTTTTTCCTTCTTCTAAACGCATGAATGTGTACTGAAATATGTTAACTTAATTATCAAATTGTCAAAAACTTTGGTATCATCACTAAAAGTCAATTCTTCGCAAAATATTGGCTTAATGTTTTCAAATGGAAACATTCGACCGAAAAAGGTTAATCTGCACCACCCGTTATATACATATATATATCAAACTCGAATTTTGTTGAGTATTGACTCAAAAATCAGAAATATGCTAAAGATTACGTCTTTTACTGCTTTAGTCAAGAAGGTACCAATTCTTTTGGTGATGTGACAATGCTCGCTACATGACTCACTAAATAGGAAGGTCATTCTTCAACAGCAAAACGTTTTAGTAATTGAGAAAGACACGCTACTAAAATCAGTTCAAATAGGTGCTGTCTATGGACCACACGATAAACCCTTCCCACAAAAATTGTTCGACAAATACGAACATAAACGGTTTTTTTTAATATTTTGGAATTACAATAAAAAAGAAATATTTGGATTGGCTTCGCAGTAATAACAAGTATAATGGGATCCAAATGGAAAGTTAGCCATATAATGTATGATGCGAAATGATTTATCTGAGTTAGCCGACAC